GCGGAAGCAAATACAAGTTCAAAAATCACAAACAAACATAAATAATCCAAACATGTTCAATTATACTACATGACATGCTATCTCAAAATATCCTTAAGCTTGACCACCACCACACATCAGCTCACGCGCCACGCGGGACTTCGTCACCTGAAAAATGGTTAGTGGGGAGGCGTGAGCATAAAGAATCCACGTGCTCCGTCGGAACCAACACTGAATATTAAATAAATTGGCTAACTATAACTATCGATAATCCGGTACTCATGTGCACACTCCGGGGGTCCCCTCCCACAGAAATCTAGAAAAGGCACTAATCACCCCATCTGGACGCTAGACTTAGAACGGGCCCTAATCACCACACGTCCAAGTCATAACTGTAATCTTGACCAAGATGGGATCACTCATCCGTCTCGGTCCTCAATCTACTCACACACATACCTCAGACAGGATAAACAATTAAAAGCAATGAGATACATAGTACAGGGTCCCCACCTGGAAGCTGGTGCAATGTAGATGCTGGAATAGATGTGTAGCAGATGGAGGCTCGACTCTCCTCAAGTTACAAAATATTTGAGAAAAATATTCTATGTACTATGCTCAATCTGAAAAACTCGAATCTTAATATCTGATCTAACTAGGTTCGCTCACTCGGTTTTAAAATCATTTAAAACTCATTTTAGAAAATTTACGAGCTAATTTAAAAATTTACTGTCTTGAGGCTTACTAGAGTTCTCGAAAATATTTTTTTCAGGAACTAAATTCTGACTTGATCTTAATCTGACTTGATTCGGAAAAATACTGAAATCTCGGTTCACGCTCCAACTGATGTTTCGAACTGAAACTCCTAAAGCGTCCGGACTACCTGGACTGATTCGGCTGAACTGGAAACTTCTCGAACCATCCAGACTATCCGGACCGATTCGACTGAACTGGACCGGCGGCTCGCTCAGAACCGGCCGGTCGCTCGTTGGCTAGGTGCGGTTCGGCTCAACTGTGGTCCGGGTTTGGCGTAGCAACTCACGGGAACGCACAAACAGGGCTGACACGATTTTGCCGACGCACGGGCTTTAAACGGTGCCATGGCCGCTGGCGCAGGGGTGCGCTTGGACCACGGCTTACGGAAACGGCGTGTTGACGGGTAGGTTGAACGGACTCACGGGCGTTTGGTAGAGTGCAGGGGCACGGCTCGGTCGGACTCGGTGCACGGGCACGCACTCGGTGGCTCGGCTCCGATGAAAAGAAGAGAGTGGGACACGTGCGGGACATTGATACGCGTTGTGGATGCGTGCTAATGCATGCCGGTTGGTTGGCTACGCTCGTTACGAGGCACACGACCTGGGTAGCCTTCTTAGGCTCAGTTACAGTCTCGCCGGTTGATTGACCGCATCTCCAACAACCCAAGGATTCATTAATAACCCTATGACATCTAAAGTCATTTATAAGCTACTAGGGTTCATGTCTAAGCCAATGGGATAAGGGTTTTAGCCAATATACCTCAAAATGGACTCAAACTGAAAATAGGAAAAGAGGGCTAGCTAGTGAAAGAGACTCTGCTTGCTGCTGGGGCGGCATGCGTACGCGCGTCTACTGAGGATGCAGGCGGTACGGACGCACGGGGCTGGGCTCGATGTTGGTTGCGCGAGGAGGCGTACAGACGCCTGGGTGGACTGAGAGCTCGCGGATCTGGTTTGGAAGTGTGTGTGAGTAGCGGATCTGACGCTCATGCAGCTGGACGCGTACGGACGGTGCTGTGGGGCTTCGAAGGAACGACAGCAAGCTGGAATTGTGTGCTGCTGGACGTCGCACAGAGCTGGGAGTCGACTCGGCTGGGAAGAGAGCGACGTGAGCTCGGGCTCGCAAATGATGGCTCGATGGTGTGCTAACCGAGGGTTGGGCGCGAGCTTGCAACGGGACGTCGTGGACTAAGGCTAGACAGCATGGGCTCGGCTGCTCGATGTGGTGCGTGTGATGCGGCTCGGGTAAGGAACGCTGGCTCGAGTTCTCGACGTGGTGAGGCTATGAAGGGCTCGGTTTTAATACTAGGGGCTAGGAGGAGTATTTTGCTTTTCATATTTCTAGATCTAGGATTTGCTCTTGAAGTGTAGAGGTGTGTGGATGAAGATGAAAGGGTGGCTAAGGTAGGTAGTGTGATATTTATATGTAGAACACTAGGGTTTTGGTAGGTGGGTAGGAATTGGGCTTAAAATTTAAAATGCTACTTGGGTTTGGACGATGTATTGACTTGGGCTTAGTAATAAAATGTTCGGGCCAATTAAAATATAACGGGATTTGGACTAAAAAAATTGATCGGGCCGAATAGATAAAATAATTAGTGGGCTCGATTTTTGTATTTGGGTCGAATTACATGGACCGAAATATTGGGCTGAAAATAGCTATTTTGGGCCAGTTTTCGATTTGATTTGAACTCGCTCGAAAAATTATTGGGCCGAGGCACGGCTCGTCCGGGCTTCGGCCCGACTTAAATAAATTTCTAATTTTTCCAAAGCTCGGTTTCATCTTAAAAATAAAACCGATACTTTGGCTAACTAAATTCGATTTTTAAAATTAAAAATCGAATAAATTATCCATGGCTTAGACTAACATTTAATACTCTATTTAATGCAAATAATAATAAATAAAGTCATCAAATAAGGAACTTGCTATTTATGGATATAAAGTTGAGCTCCATAAATACTCAAAATATTCGAGGTGTTACAAAATGCTTTTTTGAAAGATTTTAGAGGTGACTCATGCACGTAGTACTTAGTTCTTTTAAAGATTCTAGATGTCCAAAGCACTTAAGATTGGCTACAGATTAAAACCAGTTTTGATTGAACGCATTTTTTTTTATATACTCTTTAACTCAAAATCCAACTCAAATAAGTTGAATTCCACTCTTCAATACATCAACATAATTAAATAATAACAATCAACCATCCTCATACATCACATTAACTTTAATTCAATATTCATTTACTCATATTTTTAACTATCTATTATTTCAAGTAACCTCTTTTATACTTTTCTATCACACCAACTTTAATCATTATATTTTAAATCTTATTTAAATACAAACTAGAATCTTACTGAATCCTCCACTCAATCAACTTTATTTAAAATTAACTCATTTTAACTCAAAATCCAATCAAAACCACTCAATCTTTAAAATTAACTCATTTTGAAGATTCTGGCAATGGCTCTCGCACGTAACACTTAGTTCCAGCCCTTTTCTCAGATAGCACAAGTATCATCAAATCTCATTTTTTACCAAAATCAAAGATTGAGATATACCATGTATGAGAATCAACACAAAACACATAACAATCTACAAAACTAGGTCATTCCACTAAGTAAATGAAAGTGAATAAAAGAAAAAACTAAAACCTGTAAGAGGTAGACCAATCAACCATATAAGCACACGAAATTCACAAAAACCTACCCCACACTCAAAGCAATGTTCTCATTATTGACTGAAAAGTAGAGGGAAAAGCAAACACATAGGGAAAACTTATCTAATAAATAGGTCCAACAAGAAATAGAAACAAAATCCAAAAATAAAATATATAAACAAGAAAAGTCACAAAATAAAGAAAAATGTAAGAAAATGCAAACTCAAGATTAAATGTTGAAGTTCATAAAGGGTCCCAAAATGGATGAAGCATATCGAAACGAGTCTCCACACATGCTCGAACTCATAGGTAAGCAAAGCACCAACTCCATAAGTGGGCACAAGTACCTAACAAAAGAGACGACCATATGCCAAAATATTAATTTATTCAAAAGCATAATAAAAAAGCATAAAAGAAAATAACTTAAGAAAGCAATAAAATAACTTAGGTTACCTTCCATGAAGTGCTTATTTAATATCATTACTTGACGAAATCAAAGTCGAGTAAACCGAGATCCACAGAGAAGTGATGATCATGCCACATTTTTGTATTCTCTAACAGTGGAAGGATTGGTAATAAGGAATATAAGGCAGACAAGGTGGCTTCAGGTGGCTCTTGCAAAGACTAGCATGAACACCAAAATCACTAGAAGAGAGATGTCTTCTGCCTCATAGCCATAGTGAACCTTCGGGAATATGAAAACATTCATGGAGCAACTCGAGCTAAAGTAGGTCATCTCAACACACAAGATGGCAGCTAAAAAGATACAATTAACTTGTCACTCTCCAACTAGACATATACCTTAAACGTTGGATTAAAAAAAAAAAAAAAAGGGAACACTCTTTTAACATCATTAGACAAATGAAAATTAAATAATTATAAATATCACATATAATCATAAATGAGACTTAGAGCATGTTTGTTAGCCAAGACAGGATTAGATAATTTTAATCTTTGGACACGAGATTGGGGTGTAGAGATATATACCATCTCGTGTTTGTTAGGGATGATTCATGCAAGATGAGATTATTTATTTACTATGTGTTGTGTGTTTGTTTTCCTAGATCCAAATTATGATAAGAACCACATTTACATATTTGCCCCCTTTATTGTTTTGCATAACTTTCATTAATACTTACACGTAAGTGCAGTTTTGTTTTTTATTTCTTTTTTATTTTTTTGTTTGATATTTTTGCATGGCCTTGGTTTGTACATTTTATTCCTTCCGTCTGTTTTCTTCTGGCTCAAACACATATCTATAAACAGTCTTTTATTTAATTAAGATGATGCCATCTTGGTTTTTAGCATTGTGAATTTTTTAACTCATTTTGCAATATCTTCTTCAATGCATTAATCATGCAAAATAGAAAAAAAAAAAAAAAANCTGTGTAACCCCGTGACCTATTCCCTTCCCTATTCCTCTCTTACTGTCAATCAATCACCCATGACAAATGCATGTTTGTGCTTGAAGACAAACTGGAATCTGGGGATGGAGGGTCTGATCATCTTTTAAAAATTTGCATGACATGCAAGAATCTTTTAAACATCATGGCCCTCATTGACTGTGATTATGTGGCGTACAAATGAGTTGGTTTTTATTTTACAGGGAATCCAATGTGTAAGATAGTAATTGTAGACAAACATTTTCACTATAAAACCCAAACACATCCTCATGCAAAATCGTTAATTTACTTCTGAAATTTTTCATTGTTGTTGCAATTTAGACTCAATGCCTTGCCTTTCAACGCCTATAACGCAAGATGAATGCCTCTACGACGGTCTTTGGGCAAAACAGGCCGACAATTTGTTCGTGGACTTGCTAATAAAGTCGCATGTAGTCGAGCAGTGGAGAAATGGTCGTCCCGGAGGTGTGGTGTTCAATTATTGATGTTCTGTTCTCATTGGCGAGCTAGACATAACTTATCGTAACAATGAATTCAAAGAGAGATTCGACTTTCTTCAAAAGCGGTACATTGTCTTTAGTTGGATGCTACGGAAGCCCAGTTTGCGCCGCTGTGTTCAATCGAACATCCTCACCGCTCCGATTGCGGTTTGGGACGATGTGTTCGAGGTAAAGTGACAACTTATTTTTTTTATGTTCAGGTCATATTTATTTTTGCAATGAATAATGATGCATTGATATTTTTATTTGTCTAAATATTACAAATCAAATTTGTACATGACCTAAACTTTGTTTGTGATATTTCAGTCTAACACCTTATAGCGTTGCTTATCAACATTCCGGTGACTCTCGCTGGGAGGACTTGCGTTTCATGTTCGAGGAGATGTACTCTTTGAAGTTGTTCATGACTGCAACTCTACAAGAGAAGCTTTTTTTGCTCTCCCTGCTGTACGAACTAATGTGGTTTCAGACAATTCCTATCACAATGTTTTGCAAACGTTGTGTAGTCGCAACAACTTTTGCCCTTCCCAACAAGGTGGGCCGCATGATGCCTCGTTCGAAAGCTCCGTCAACATGCATGCCTATGTCTTAATTACTAGGGTGGGCAGTCGAACACCATTGCGCATTCCAAGGTCCACCGCATAAGCCAGACCCGGCTTCTTGCAAGGGTTCGTGTAGCAATCCTCACGTTTGAAGTATCTGGATATCTTTAAATGTTATTGTTTCCACTTATGCGCCTAATATAAGTATTCCACATGTGGTTTAGTGTTTTGTGTGTGTTTTGGTGTAAGCTAGATAGACTATTGTTTAATATGTTTTTATGTACCCTGTTTATTAATGTTTGTTTGAAGTATGTCTACCTCAAGTTGAATGCATGTTTTCTGTCTTAAGTGTTGGATAATAAATTTTAATTTATTGGTTTTAGTGGACTTTGGATTTCCTAATAATATTTCGACCTATGAAATAGCAATATGACAATTTTCAACAATACACATAACAAAGCAAAGTTTATAGAAAGTTGTGTGTTATGTTTTCATTTATAAAAAATTGAACAATTTTTCTTTTCTATCAGTAACATCCTAAATGTCTACTAATAAATAGATGCTTTGTTGTTAAGTGTTATTCAATAAACTCTGACCGAAATGACAACATATTACATAAAAATTCGGTTTGGTAAGCACAAAAATACATCAACAAAATATTCATAATTTTTTACCTTAGCAAAATACTTTTGTTACAATACGGTCCATAAGTGTGGTGATTTACTGAATAAAACTACATACACAAAAGATAATGACCATTGGCAATATACTACATACAAAATTTTGTCAGTTACTATATGCCCTAACCATACACAATAGACAACTTCTAGTTTTAGGGAGACACCAACATGAAAGCAAAATGAAGTGACGGTCGTCAAGCACCATATACTAATTATTAGGCCATTAAATAACGCAAAAACATTGTACCACCTTCACGTCGACTTATATCTATCCTGAGTCAACGCAAGACTCGACGTCGTTGTCGATATCCATTTCATCTGGATCCTTGTCCGATTCAATGTGAATCACCTCGACTTAGACGGGGTCCTCCATGTACTCCTTGTCATGTTCTTCCACTCTTGCGTGATCAACTTGTTCATGCACATCATTGGCGCCGCCGTTTATGTACTCAGCCCAGTCAGTCCCGTCAACCCAGTCAGCACCGTCAGCCCCGTTGGGTCTATCGCCAACAACAATTTCCTTATTTGTGTCGTCAAACATGATCGGGTCATCGAATCTTGCGCCGGGCCTCCCTCCATGTCCACATTAGCCGCACCTCCAAGATCCCATAGCTCGACACACTCTTCGTACCATGGGAACCCAACATGACAGAAAAAGGGTTCGAATTCTGTTTCCTATGAACTCAAAGGTGTCAAGGAAAAGAAAAAGTAAATATAAATTTATAGCCAAACAATGTTTGGTTGCGCCATGTATGCATGCATGCCAGATCAAAATTTACTGTAGCAAAAAAAGGTATAAAAAATTAATGAACATGACAAGATAAAACAAACCCGGCCGGCGTATGTCCAATGCATAACATTTACTATAACGAGACCCGAGTCTGCATGCACGTTGACACCGGGAGACCCAAGAAACGTGAGTAACTCTCGGAAGTAGGTAGGTACGTTGACATCGAGAGTTTCACGACAAAGGTTGAAGAAAAGCCGATAACACTCCCTCTCCTCATTGACTGACCACCCCAGGACTCGATACCTCTCCGCAATACGTAGCATGCGTGCATAATGATCCATTGTACAAATTCATATGAAAGTAGATGTAATACACAAAAAAAAAATAAAAAATTTAGGATGAACAACACAAAATAAAAAATTATGTTGTTCAGTACACATAGCCGATCTATAGGAAGAAATTGGACGCACTTTACCTGGGGGTGTTCTTTTTTGGCTGAAAATGAAGTTGACTTTAGCCATTTATAAAGGCCAAATAAATAATGAGACCTCATAAAGGTGTGGTAGAGGTCATTTGGTAGGTTTCATTCAATTAATCATTAATGGCATGTAATTATATCTGATGATGTAGTTTACTCAAGCTCATGTATAAATGTTGAGAACTGATTGTGGGAATGGTAGTTAAGTGGGGCGGTTGGTGCAGGATTTAAAATTTTCTTGGCACAATTTTACTAGTTTTGTAGAGGATTTTATGTGGATAGTATGAAAAAGATGAGGTATATTAATCCACTTTGTTCTCCTTTTTTTATTTTTTATTTTTTTTTGTGCAGAAATATGTTCTATTATGAAAATGTATGTGAAGACAAGATTGTGTGGTTAATTAACGGATATTTGTATACATATTTATAAAGTCTACGGCAATTTCTTTTTCTTTTGTTATTTGTAGTAACTTCCATAATACATAAAATAAAGTAGGCATCAAATATTGTAATAACTCGGCAATGTCTTGTACAGACTTGCCGAAACATCGATAATTGTATGCATCGACATCGTCTTTGATCAATTATTGTTGTCGTTTTTTAATTCATTTGTTTAGTGCTTTTGGTTAGTCTCCCATTTAACAATACTTGATTATGTTCGACATATACTTTGTTACTAATGAATATAAGCTCTTGCTTATGTTCTACTTGCCTAGGTAGTCGATCTGACATTTTGAAGGAAGCCCGTCCATTTTGCTCTCCGATTCTAAGACGATAGTTTTTTTTGCCTCAAAATTTTAAGGTACAAAATGGCAATAAAAAACACAATGGCCAACAAATTCATTATTTCCTCAACGATCAAGACAACTTCGACTTCATCCATATCAATGTCAATGTCTACAACAAGTAGCGAATAAATATGCAGCGGTAAATGAGTAGTTATAAAATACCGAATTATCTGTATTTAAGTACTAGTTGACTCCAAAGTGTCTCATATTTTAACCGAAGCACATTTTAACAGAAACATAAGGACGAGATTTTAACAGAACCCTTTCATGTATCTCATATTTTAACAGAAGGCATTAATTTCGATGCAAATGTTTAGGAAAAATGCAGTGGGGCCCAGCATAATTATCAAATATTTGCAGTGTCTAGGTAATTTGTTAGACAACAAAAAAATAACGTCCATTGAACTTTGCTCAACTCAACCTAACACAAAAAAGTTAAAACACTGTACATAGTCGTACATCTCCTCAGCAATGTCAAAATATTTGACCCCCTTTTAAACTTTTTTCAGTTGTGAAATGTAAACAACAAATACACAAATAAATGACACCCATCTTCTTCAAATTAATCATAAAACCCATTCGATTGTCGTGCTGCCAGAAAGACGTCTCTGATATGGAAGTAACCGTATTTTTCGGCCCCTGCCGCTGTAGAAATAACCACTTAAGCACATACTAGGTATAACCAAAACACAACCAAAAAAAAAAAAAAACCAACAAAAAAAATATAAATAAAAAATATTGATTGTCGCATACCTCATCTAATTGGTGCACAGGCGATACAGATAGCTTAGAGGAAACAAATTTCTTCACCTGATCCGCGTTGAGACGTTTAGATCTAAATCTTTCGTTGCGGCCAGGGAATGGAGAGACTACACTTTCGTACACAAGTCATTTATTGTGGACCACTGCTTTTTTTATGTTCTTGTGCTGGTAGTTGTAAGTGGTATGGTGTAATTTAGTTGTTGACTGTGGTCACTTTAGTTAGATAATTTAACTTTTAGGGCATATCAGGCATTCTCACTTCATTTATTGTACAGAGATGTCCGAATCTTATCCTCCTCGCCTGGCCCAAATAATCCCCAAAAAGCAGGAGTCGGGCACTGTTCATTGCGGGTCTCATCCAATCTATCGGGTCGTAATCTAGGTAAACAAACGTGGGATTTTGGCCAGACAAGGACCTAAATCCTGTCCTGTCTTGGCTAACAAACATGCACTTAGAGTAGTTACTTGAATAGATGAAACTTATGTAAAAAACTAAAGACAAGTACATTTGTGCTATCAATGTTCAATTCCTTTGACCAGTAAATGTCAATCACAAAACATGAGTATTTTGTCATATGAAAATGTGCTATTTTCCCATGAACCCAATTGTTGGGAAATTAATTGAGATGTAAAGAGTAAATTGCAAATTTAGTTCTACATGATTGGTCATGTTGTAAATTCGATCTCCCATTAATTAAATTGTTAGTTAAAATGAGATATAGTTAGCAACTTGAAACAAAATTTGCAAATTGAGAAATTATGATAACTATTTTTTAACTTTCTCTAAAACTTATTGGTTCTAAATATTATATCACCAAGTTTTATCGTTTTTTTAAATCATATAATTCTAACAATATTATCTCACGCTTGTATATTGTATTTACATTTACAATCAAATCTGGATCGATAAGAAATACAAAAGCATATAATGAACCGGAAGTCTAGACCGAACAAGACCACAAATAATGAATAGAAGCTTGTACTACATATAATGAATAGTACCTGTAGTACAAATGTACTACACTAATTATACATATAGCCTCAATGATGGAGAGAGAAAAAAAGGGGATTCATTCATGAAAAAGGAGAAAAAAACATCTCTGAGAGGCATTATTAATATTTTCTTATTTTTGTATAGCTTAATCATGTATTCTTTTCATAAAGAAGATATATCTAAAAGTCATGAATAGAAGATATATTCAATCTATATTTTTAGAACAAATCTATTCGTGCAGGTTGAACAGAGGACACAATTTAGTGTACAGTTCACCCCCTGTTGTTGACATTTTTTAGCATCAACAATAATAATAAAATTATTTATTAAAATTAATTAAAAAATAAAATTATTTATCAATTAATAATTTTATGTTTAATGTAGTTATATGTTATAAGGTAGAAAATTTATTATAATATTAACACATATAAGTCACACAATTAACATGCGTCATATTAAAATATATAATAATATACTCTCTCCTATTTTTATTATTTGTCACTTTGGCTTAATTGATCATTGATAAAATAAATGTCGTTTTAGATATTTTGTTCATATTTTTCTATTTTTAACCTTTCATCTAATGTACAGTATCTCTTCATATTCATATCCCATCTCCATCGTTTCCTATAACATATATTAAATAGGGTTACTATTGTCAAGAAAAAAATCTTAATTAGTGTGTTGCATTTAAATTGATATTATGAAGTCCGTTTGTATTTTACTTTATATATATATATATATATAATACAAAACATCAATAATATATATATATATAATACAAAACAGTAATATATATCCTTATAAATAAAATTTAAATTTATTTATCAAACTAAATTAAATTATATAAAATAAAACTATAAAGTATACTATAAAGTAATAGAAATTGGTATGTATTCTTTTAAAAATGATATTTATTTCAAATCTAATTGGTATGTTGTCAATGTAATAAAAACAAATAATTATTTATCTAAATTCTAAAATTACATATAAAGTTAAAAAACTGTGAAGCACGACTGATACAACACTTGATGTATTAGGCATCTAATTAAGTAAAAAAATTAATCTATTTTACTTAATATTATATAAACATATTCTACACTTATGCATATACTTATCACCATATTATTTCTATTTATTTAAGATATATATTTTTGTACTTATGTAATAGTAAATAATATCGATATTTTTATATGATATAAGTAAAAAAATTCAACACGGGTTGATATTTTCATTTAATGTACAAGTATTTAATTATTATGACTAAAAAATATAATTTGACAATTTAATTAAAACTCAAAGTAATGTTTTATATAAAATTAAATTATTTTAGTTTTTTAAAAAAAATTAATATTTCTTACAAAATTTTTCTAATTCAACACCGTGTAATACACGGGTATTGTACTAGTATTTACATTAATAGCCTACCCGGTAAAATTCCGTTGACTTTCAACGTAATTTAGAATCAAATTTGCAAGATGGTCCCTCTGAAACTAAAGCTTGCAATTTTCTGGATATACAAATTATCTTTTCAAACCCAGTGGATGAGTGCAAGCACCAATGGCGACAGCACTTCCGTCAATAAGATATCATTGCTCTCTCATTCCAAATCTCGCGGTCTTTAGGTTCCCTCTTTCTCAATTATTATATATTTAACACCATATACATATGTATCTGTATATTCGTTGTCGGTTGGATTTTTATCTTTGTGCTTTGGTTTTCGTTGGTTGCAGGAATAATGCTCTCGAATTGTCTGTTACTTCCCATAAGAAACCTAAAATGTGCTGTACCATGAGGAAAACAACTGCTAGTCTGACTGATTCTTCGCAAATTGGGTTTTTGAGGAGGGATATAATGCTCGCAGGATTTTCTTCCTCACTCTCTCTAATTTTGCCAACTTCAGGTGTGTTGAAAAATCCAATTACTTCGATTCTTATTAATTCCTATTTATAAGCTATCTAATGACTAAATTTTGCCAGTTTCTTACAATGTTGATATATTTTCGGAGTTTTAGCATGTGTGTTCTTGAGCTGTTATTTAGTTTTTTGCATTCTTAATTTTTATTTAATGTGTGTTTCCATTTTCCAATGACTATGAGTGGTTTTCTTTCTAATACATAAATGCTAAGTGGGATTACAGTAGCCTAATTATTTTTGAATTTATTTATATTCTAATAAAAATGTCTTCATGTTGAACATGGAAACAATTCTGTCGTTACTCTCACCAAACATCGTTTGAGTAGATGTCTTAATATGGGAATTGATTAGATTCTCCATGGATGTTGCATATGCTACAGGATCTAGTGCTGAGGAAGAGTTGAAAATGGACTTTTTCGTTGATGATATTAATGCTTATTCGTATATGTATCCGAAAGAATTGCCGTCTGATAAGTTTGTCTTCAAATGGTAACACTTACTCTGATGCACAAATTTTAGTAATCAGTGATTTAACTGTTATTTAATTTTTCACTTTTGGTTACTTTATCAACTAATATATAGTTGTTGATTTTTTAAGCCATCATTCCGTAACTCTATGTAAATTTGGGTCATTTTCCAACAATATTGTTTCTGCATTCTGAATCACATGATATAAAATTTAAAGAATGATACTATGCTTTGAATATGAGAATAAACTGTCAAGTGACTAATTTGTTTCAAACAAAGATAAGTCAATGTTTATTGGATTTATTTGAATTTTGTTCCCTACTTCATGATTTTGCATCACTAAATTGTAGGAACCTCACTCTTTTCATCTATTTGAAGGGTGGAATCTAGAAAGCCGGAACGTTATTCTTCAGCTGCACCACTGTCCCGTAAGTCAGCTATTAACATCTTTAATAATGAGAATTATGAAGATCACTTATGTAATCCATCTCATTAAAGTCTGATTATGAGGAAAATCCGATAATGTATTGACATTTTTTATTCTTACTGAAATGAGGCATTACCTAATCAGCTGCGAGCTTACCTATATACTTGTTGGCTATTATACAGCTGATGCACGCCTTCGCATTGTATCCGAGAGGGTTGATTTTATTGATAATCTCATAATCTCAGTTTCGGTATTCAATTTGACTATATTGTTACCCATAATCTGAAAAATAATATATTCAATGTGTTTCACCTGAGACTTTTACTTTCACTCCTTTTTTCAGATAGGACCCCCCAATTCACTTTTCTTGAAATCTAAAGACACAAGTACGTGGAGCGCGAAAGATGTTGCTGATTCCGTTTTAGCTGACAAGTCTGCTCTGGTAATTTGTTCTTATGTTTAACACGTATGGAAGGGTTTTATGTTCTCATGTTGTGAAGATTCGTGTAGTTATGTGGTTGGAAAGTATGTTTAAGATAACTACAAAAACTATCCTTTATATTCGGGATATTAGTTGAAAAAGAGAAATCCAGAAAAAGAGGAACCAAACCTGGGTTTCTTGTAATGTTAGAACTTTTTTTTTTTTTTNTTTTTTTTTTTTTTTGGTAATCACCCACAGGAGTGGTTATTAAGAATAATTGCTACCTGCAGCCCAGCTAAAGTTCACTTCTTTAGGTTGACTGTATTTTAACTACAGCTAAAAGTGCCTTTTTCGATTTTAGACTCTATTTTGTTAGCATTCAGCTTGTTATCTACATCATATTAGTGATAACGCATCTCTTCCAACCTTCTAGCCTCTCCATAGTTAGTTGGTTTATTAATATATGTTTTTAAGATTAAACTGTAATATTTTATCACAGCAAATTAACTTGTAATAATTTATCACAGCGGGTTACCTCAAGTCAACGAATGGACGAAAGTTCAGTCCTTGATGCACATTCTTCCATAGTAAGTTGTATTCTGTAGTAAGTTCTATGGAACAATTTTGCACAAATAGAGCTCAATGTACTTTTCCCTTAGGTTGATGGCGAACCATATTGGTATTATGAATATTTGGTACGCAAGTCTCCAACCAAAAATGTAAGTTATCTTATTTATTAGATAAGTGAGGACGAATACAAAGTAAGGGTAAATTAACCATGATACTACTTTTTTGTTGCTCAGGAGTCGAACCTTTATCGACATTTTGTAGCCTCAACAGCTGCACGTGATGGTAATATATTGTGCTTATATTAGTGTATGCGGTCCACCATTTTGATTTTATTAATTTTTCCCGCTACAAATTCAGAGACATTAAATACAGGATAGTTCCAATTTCTTGAATTGAAACAGAGAAAAGAAATCATTCATTTTTAGCAAGTCCTTTCTGTTCATGAATCCATTCCCATGATTTTATGCTAAATAGATTGCTGCCTTTGGTTTCTTTATTTTTTATTTCCTGGTTAAGTTATTAAAGAATTATTTCACCACAGATTATTTGTACACTCTCAGCGCTTCAACTTTGAGCAAGCAATGGGATAAAGTAAGCACAACTTTTGCTAAGAATCATTGGAATTTTGATTCGTATTATTTTTTATCAATGCATATATATGATGTTTAAGAGAAAATGATTTATTTTGATGATTGTTATGCCTCATTATGCAGATGGGACCTGTCTTGGAGAAGAGTGTGGCGTCTTTTCGGCTTCTCCCTCCTACAGAAAATTATGTACCTCCTTACAAGGATCCCTGGAGATTTTGGTGATGGGTTTGATGTTTTTTATTGGTCATCTCTCGGAATCATGTGTATTTGTAATCAATATTGTTTTCTTGGCTGAGGAAAATCAAACGTTGTAGTTTTTCGGATTAGTTTTGATGCGTAAAACAATTCAGCACTTAGTTTTGAGAGCACTTAGTTTTGAGATCATTAATAGGTTGCCAGAAGATTTGTGATGTGCAGTTGCACCTCAATCAAGTTCTCCTAGAGACCTGCAAAGATGCCGGGAGATTTTCGATAAACATCCGACGCTCAAGTCAATAAAGTGATATAGAAAATTGTATGGAAATATACTGAAAGCTCAGAATATATAAAGTGTGATTATAGAAGATTATTAGCTTCCTGAACAAGTTTCTGCATTGCCAGACTTCCCGAAGGCTTGCCCAACTGCCCAAAAGGGCTATCCGTCAGTTATTAGATTACTCATAGGTTCGTTCGTTGGTTATTTAGCTCATTTTGGTCCGTCCAATTATCTATCTCTTTTATTCATAGCCCTACATGAGTCCCTAGGTCAGCCTACACGTGTCCTTGGGCTCGACCTCTTTTGTAGGTCGGCCTTCTTCCTAACCAGATCATCTATCAATCTATCGAATGCCTGAGCTACTCTTCTGCCGAGCTCATTGTTGTCCGAGCTTGTTATCTGTCAAGTTATATGCATACATGTGTTTGTCCGAACTACCCTTCTGTCGAGCTCATTACTGTCTGAGCTCGTTATCTGTCGAGCTATAGACATATATGTGTTTGTCCGAGCTACCTAACTGGGTCTTGACGCACCAAATACATACGACCATAACAGTGGATTAAACTTATTCCTGCAAAATCGAGTTATGCGAATATAATTCGATTTATGGTTGCGCTTGAACACGCGTTATCACATAAGCTGTAAAATTTGAACTTTGCATAAACGAATTGACTGTGGGCTGTGATACCACTTGAAAGTACTAGTAAAGATCATCGCATATGTGCAAGTCACGAATTAAACTCTGCAATTTAAACCCATACGCAGCGGAACTAAGCTTTAGCGAAGAATACTTACGGCTTGAAAATTCGCAGACTCTGAGACGTTGTAGATTATGGAGATCGGATGAATCCACTCATCGAAATCGCCTCTTAGGATGTGTCGGAGTCACAGGGAACGTGCTTGTAGCAGTCATGAGTCACGATTGGCACGGGTCGCTCGGTCGCAGTGCAGCGTGCGGACGCTCGGGTCATGTACGGGACTCCGCGAGGATGTCGCGGGTCGGTAGCGTACACGGGTCGCCTGCGGGTGCTCGCGAGGATGTCACGGGTCGATGGTGGACGAGAGCGCGGGCATTGCGAGTGGTCGCTGGGGCTAACGCTCGAGCGGGTCGTGCATCTCGACTGAAGCGGCGGTGGTCGGATGCTCAAATACCTCGGAGCCTTCTGCTATATTGCTCGACACCTTTCCGGTTGTCTTCGTGGGCAACAAGGGCGGAGATGAACTCGAGGGAACTAGGACCGGCCGACGTGTGCGTGTAGAATTTATGACTTGTCTCTCCCAATCCCATGAGTTAATGGTGTTTAATAAGGCTACAACATGGACCCTAAGGAGGTGATGATGTGCACTGGCGGATCTATATATGGTCCAGCCTAGGCTGGATTTTTTGTGATAACTATACAATTCATATAGTAAATATGTGTTAATTAAAAATTTATATTTGATATTTATAAAGATATAAATACAAGTTTTTATTTTAAAATTTTAAATAATTCTTACCAAATAACATTATTATGTTAATTTAAAACGATACACGTCACTTGTCAGATTCGACGGTATTATGTTACAATATTTTTAGTACTTAGACCATATAATAAACTTGATAGATAATTTATTGTTTTTCGATTATAATTGATAATATTAAGTTATTATGGATAGAGATGAGATAGATAAAATTATTTTAATTTATATATACAATGTGAATGTCAAATTATAGATTGTCAAAATATGACTAATTTAATTTATCATATATAAAAAATGATAACATACATGAGTGTTATTAACTTTTAAAATATATTTACAATTTAAGTTAGTCAAGTGTTTAAAATTGAAAGTTTTGGATAAAGTTCAAAATTTATATGGATTATCTCGGATCCTAAAAAATTAACATATAGAATTACAAAGCGGTAGAAGTTGACCACGAAAAACTCTATATTTCAATATAAGAAGATAATCCATAAAGGACTCTATATAAAATAACATGAACAAAAATGATGACATTTAGGTCTTTCTTAAATTACTAAATTATATTTTAAAATGACATGTTTATAACTTATTACAAAAAAAAAAAATTGTAAAATATTTTTGGTATATTTCTTAATAATAATAAAAACGGAAAAATAAAATAACCAGGTCTCACTCTCAATTTCATTTTTTAGCATCAAGTCAAAGAAAAATTGATTAGGAAAGCCCTCAACTCCCGATTGCTCAAACGATTTATTTAATTCTTAAGATAAGTACTTTGTGCAATATGGTTAAAAAAAACTTCAACTATTTTTGCCTTGACTCCTTAAAATTTCTGGATCCGCCGCTGATGATGTGTGCTTCTTAAGTCTTGGGCTTAACTGTGGGCTAATCCCACTCCGCTCAATGATTTAAATGATGTTACGGTCCACTAACGAAAACATTATTGCACTCCTCATCATTCCCGAATTATATTCGAGACTCCCATTATAATTACCCGAATTACCTCCCCACGTTTAAGATATAATTCAGCAATTAAATTATTACTGACAATCAAATTAATCGACAACTTGAACTGAAGCTAGAACAAATCAAATCATTATTATTATTATTATTATTATTATTATGTCGTAACTTAATCCACATGCAGGGTTTAACATAAAAATCTAATATAGCCATACATGAGTGAACCGAAAATATAATAAGTGTGGGGGCTAGACCGGTTTACATGACAACCTATCAGAGTGACCCAAATGACGACATTACCCTCAACGACCTAGAAACCTCGACCTTCAGTCATCTTGATGATTTCATCCACAGCGACCTCAGGACCCTTAAAACAACCTGAGTAACTAGAATAGGTCGACCTAAACAACCTCAAGAATTAGTATAAGACGACCTCGACTAGGTGAGTACTACCTGAAGAAATACGACCTAAACCAACAGAAAGCAAGGATAAGAATGAATCTTAAGAGGATAAGATAGAATCTAAAGGTGACTAAGAGATAGTTATGATATGGATAAGCACTAAGTCCGGGCAGCGAGGCAGGCTGCCCGCAGGCACTCGGGCAGAGTATTTTAGGCAGGCATTTCCCTATAAAAGGGACTGAGGTATCACCAAAACCTAATTTGACATTCTCCATACATTCCTTACTACTCTTAGCACCACCATTATCTTCTTGATACTGACTTAGGTATGCTAGGCTCTTCGCTGGAACTCCCTCTGCCGTTGAGTTCTTTCAGGTTCACGCGCGGCGGTTCAGGCAGATCGGAGCTCATCTCAACCGGTTCACCTAGATCTAGGTAGTGACACCATCATAATCTTTCATGAGCTCACTTCGGGAACATCATCAAACTAACGCATATGGTGACCGTAAATATTCGAACAACACACCATGCATGCAACATCACTACCCAACTCACCCAGAATATTGGCCCAGACATAATGAACCTCACTGTTTGGTGAAAACAGATGTCTACTACATACATGTGTCTGTTTATATCTTATGGATTAAAAGAACACAGTAATTAACTGAGGCCTAATTAGTTTACGATGATCAGTACAAAACGAACTGCTCCTCTATGGGTTCCTCTTCAATACAAATGTACTAGTGCAACTAATCTGACAAGACCAACTGTAGAGTTGACACTAAAACCATTACAATGGTTTGTTCATTTCCATCTAGGTTGTGAACCAATCATTTATGTTTCACAAGTAACTGATAAAATGATCTTTTGTCCTTCCGGGATGAACTATTTTATCTAAGTGCAAAATAACAGAACATAGAACTTGTTTAATCAAACATGATTCTATTCAACATGAATAGTGTAAATAACATATAAAGTCAAGCTTTCATTATATACATTAACACTTCAAGCCTCGCATTGCCTTTCGCCATTGGTTGCGCCTTGCCAGTGGCTCGCATGTCACCAATGGTCTCGTGTGCTACGTGCGTCGTGTGCGGGTGTCGTGCGATGTGTGCGTGTGCTACGTGCATGCTCGTCACCTGAAGTCTTCTGTTGTATTCCTTTCACCTCAATTGGACGTTGTGTGGGCGACGATCTTTTAACTTGTGTGGCCGAAACTCTTTTTCTCTTGCTCTCTCTAGCGCACGACTAGCCCTATACTTATGGGGCTGGCATGTTGCTTATGATTTTATCCAAGAGAATGAGTTCCCCACATGGATTATTTATAGGCTACAACATGGACCATAAGAGGGTTAGGATTATGATTCCCAATGGGCCAAGAAATACTTGGTAACGTTCGTTAATTAATTTAATTAAGTAACATCTTGACTTTCTGAGACTAGTACCACACAATCCTTATTATTATGCTATAACTAAATCTGCATGCATGACTTGACATAATAAACCTTTTCAGCTCATCTCGAGGACGTCATTAACCTGGCGCACCAGTACACAGTGACTGAGTATAATCAACAGCATACCATGAGATTAATAATAATTCCCAATTCACCGAGTTATGGACCTAACAGTCCAAGTCTCACTTTTTGATGAATCAAAGAACAATTATTAATCAGACATGCGCATCATTATCAATCCGCTTAGGAATACGAGCGATATCATGAAAACACATTTCTCCACTCTTTACACCTATCCACACCCGCTGTCATGGAACACAGATGAATCATAACTATTTATTTCTCCACTCTTGCATTACACCAGTCCACACCCGTTGTCATGTAAACACACATGAATCATTTGCGTCATAAGCCACCTGAAAATAGTAGTGGTATGAAGCTTTTTCATCTTTCTTTTACTTTTTTTTTTTCTTTTTTTACAATTGGGTGGTATCCAGACATTCATCCGAGGTCTTACCTCTAGCTTCAACAAGACCTTACCCCTCCACCAGCAACCAATTTCCCTCACATCCTGGGGCTCATCTTTCTTTTACTTAATCCTCAGTTTTTTTTTTCTTTTTCCTTTTTTGTTGCATTGGTATCCTCGAAAGTAAAAACAACCTTGAAGACAGCCCTGATATGAGAGCAACTTTAACGGTAGCTTTTCATAAGGTTTACAAACCTTATCCTCCTAGCGTTATGACTAAAGTAAGGGAGTGGGAGGTTTGATTTTTTAAAGCTGTGTTGCAATTGGGACGCGGTGTTGTGCAATTTGTGTGGGTCCATTTTAATTTTTTATTCTTTTACATAGCAATTGGGACGTTGGGTTGTGCAATTTTGGTGGGCCAATTTCAATTTTTTTTATCCTTTTACATTTTTTAAATTTCCTGACCACATTATTTTTTATTCTTTTACATTTTTTAGTTTAAATTATATATTAAATCATGTTTGGTTGATTTTAAAAAGATTAATTAATAAAAAACTATGAAGTATGATATTTGATTTAAAGTAATGAATGAAGTTTTATACGTT